CTCTCCTTGTCACAGATAAGTGGGTCCTTCTGCTTGAAATAGGGGCCCTATGTAGAAAGGGAGGGAGGAAGGGTAAACAAATGCAATCATGCTAGTCAGTATACACTATGTGAAAAATGAACTATGTAACTTGTGGGCAGGGATGAGAGGGGAAACTGAGGGGAAAGCAAGGGAAAGGGGTGACATTGCCAAAAAAGAAAAGAAAAGAAAAGAAATGTACTCATTACTTGATTCAAGACATGATAACCACTCTGTACAACGCCTTAACAATAACAATAGGATTATATTTAAAAAAAAAAAGAAGTTGGAGCTCTACTAGTGCCCTATGAGACATGGGGGTTTGATTTGGGGTGATCTTTTATTTAGCTTAAATAAATCTGCAGTTGTTTAGCTGATTTTTATATGTGCTAGTTCTTTCCTCTGTAAAAGACTTGGTCCTTATGATTTTTTTTTTTTTTTTGGCCATTCCTGGGGCTTGAACTCAGGGCCTGGGCACTGTCCTGGAGCTTCTTTTTGCTTCAGGCTAGCACTTTACTACTTGAGCAACAACATCACTTGTGGTTTTTTCTGTTTATATGATACTGAGGAATGGAACCCAGGGCTTCATTCATGCTAGGCAAGCACTCTACCACTAAGCCACATTCACAGCCCTATGATTTTTTTTCCTTATAAAAAAAATCCATCTCTGCCTGAGAATCCCTGCATCTTTCAGCTGCCTTAAATCTTCCTGAATCTGACCAAGTGGGATAATATCTATTGTGGCAGACTGGAGGCAGAACTCCTGAATTCAGACATCAGCTTTTTCCTCTGTTAGCTGATGAACATATTCCACAGCTTTTTCATCTTTGAGATGGGGATATTAGTAGTACCTACTTCACAAGGTTGAGATGAGGAATACTTGTATTCATTCATATAAATAAAAGACTGGGAGCCAGGTGCTGGTGGCTCACGCCTGTAATCCTAGCTACTCAAGAGGCTGAGATCTGAGGATTGTGGTTCAAAGCCAGCCTGGGCAGGAAAGTCCATGAGACTCTTATCTCCAATAAACCACTAGAAAACCAGAAGTGGCACTGCGCCTCAAGAGGTAGAACGCTTGCCTTGAGTTGAAGAGCGCAGGGACAGCGCCCAAGTCCAGAGTTCAAGCCCCACGACCAACCAAAAAAAAAAAAAAGACTTGGGCCAGATGTGGGGTTGCACACCTGTAATATCAGCCACATGAGCAGGTAGAAGCAGGAAGATCTGGAGTGTGAGGGAATCCAAATGATGTTGCTATGTCCCATCTATCTCAAAAGCAAGATACAAACAAAAGGACTCGGTGTGTGGTTCAAGTGGCAGAGTACGGACGGCATGCATGAAGTCCTTGGGTCCAATACTGAATACTGACACAAGATAAATAAGTGAAATAAAGCAGAACAAATCTGACCTAAAGTAAGTGCTCACTAGATGTTTGTCATTGTCATATTGTATGGATGGAGGAGGGGTTCTAAGTTAGAAGCAAATATTCATCCTCTTCACCATCTTTACCTGAAGCTCTCAAGATAATAATCACATAACATAGAATAATATAATAATGTCCCAGAAGCACACAGCACTTGGGCTTGATACAAAACAGGCCCTGGTTGAATTTTTCAGAGTGTCCCTGTAGTTACCTTCCTCAGGGAGGCAGAGAGGGACTGATAGAGCTCTGGAAAGAGTAAAATTTGACTGGGAGCTCTCAGATTTAGCATTCTCTCAGCCCCTCCTTACCTACTTTGATTCTAAATATTGATAGGGAATTGTATGAAGCAGACCACAGCCTGTGGTGGCACCCTTTAATACTTTCCCTAAATACAACAGCGTTCCTATAATCCTAAAAGGAAGTCTGAGAGGGACAGATGTACAGACCTAGCCTTGGACAATCTGGTCCATCTGGTCCAGCTTTATTATGGGCACCAGTGTTCATTTCTTATGGTTCTCAAGAAATCCCAAGGAAGATGTGCTATTTGTAGCAAATACCAGTTGCTTTCCTCAAGTTAGGCTGCCGCATTCCACAGTGGCCCACATTCCTGCCTTACCTACAAGCGTTGCCATTGGAGAATGCAACAGGACTCTCACATTCCTGCCTTACCTACAAGCGTTGCCATTGGAGAATGCAACAGGACTCTCACATTCCTGCCTTACCTACAAGCGTTGCCATTGGAGAATGCAACAGGACTCTCAACTCTCCAAGCCAGGTGTGGTGGTACACACCTATAATCTCAGCACTCCAGAGTCTGAGGGCAGGAGGGTTGTAAGTTCCATACCAGCCTGAGTTACAGGACAAGACTCTGTATTAACAAAACAAAAACCCCTAAATGAAAAACGAAACATATGATGGGGTGCTATTGCTGCCCATAACCACGGGTCCTTTGAAATTAGAGAATTTCACATACCCCCAATTGTAGGAAACCTATCTAAATATTCAAATTCTCCAGTGACTGTTGTCTTCTTTGCTCTCTAGGAGTACACGATCTTCCAGCTGGTTAGGATTAGCACCAGCCACAAATGGCAGAAAACACCAAATAGAGCTAGGAAGGTGGCTCAGTGATAGAGTGCTTGCCTTGCATGCATGAGGCCCTGAGTTCGATTCCTAGAAACCACATAAGCAGAAAAAGCTGGAAGTGATGTTGTGGCTCAAGTGGTAGAACACTAGCCTTGAGCTGAAAAGCTGAAGGACAGCACCCAGACCCAGAGTTCAGGCCCCACAACTGACAGAAGGAAGAAGAGGAGGAGGAGGAGGAGGAGGAGGAGGAGGAGGAGGAGGAGGAGGAGGAGGAGGAGGAGGAGGAGGAGGAGGAGGAGGAGGAGGAGGAGGAGGTGGAGGAGGAGGAGGAGGAGGAGGTGGAGGAGGAGGAGGAGGAGGAGGAGGAGGAGGAGGAGGAGGAGGAGGAGGAGGAGGAGGTGGAGGAGGAGGAGGAGGAGGTGGAGGAGGAGGAGGAGGAGGAGGTGGAGGAGGAGGAGGAGGAGGAGGTGGAGGAGGAGGAGGAGGAGGAGGAGGAGGAGGAGGAGGAGGAGGAGGAGGAGGAGGAGGAGGAGGAGGAGGAGGAGGAGGAGGAGGAGAAGAAGAAGAAGAAGAAGAAGAAGAAGAAGAAGAAGAAGAAGAAGAAGAAGAAGAGAAAACATCAAATAACCATGATGTAAAGAACTAGGGGTTTAGGTCAGTGGCAGAGCACCTATTCTTAGTATTTGCAAGGCCTTGGGCTCCCCAGTGCTTCCCCCACAAAATTGACAGTGGCTTGAAAAGAAATTACTTTTGTCCAAAAATGAAGTGTGTGGAATCAGTCCAGAGCTGCCTTCTAAAGGAACTGCTCACTTTATTTTGATGTCATTCCCAACATCTGTGTACTACTTCATAGCTCAATGTGCCTGTTTCAGCTCCAGTCATCTGGTCTATATTCCATCCATCAAAAGGAAGAAAAAGGGTGGGAAAGCCCGTAAGACTTTTATCTCCAATTAAGCACACCCAAAAAGCCAGAAGTGGAGTTGTGGCTGAAGTGGTAGAGTGCTAGTCTTTAGGGAAAAAAAAAAGGAAGAAAAGGAGAGAATTAGGAAATGTCCCTACCATTGAAGAGACTTCCTAGAAATTGCACCAAATATTTCTATCTACAACTCAGTGGACAGGAACCTGGCTATACCCAGCTGGAAGGGAGACATGGATATGTAGCCTTTATACCGCATACCTGGCCAAAACTCAGGGGCTGTGTTACTGAAGAAGAGGTGAGCAATGGGGAACAGTAAGCAACCTGCCAGTTTTTCATCTGTTTCTCTCCACAAACTGGTTGTGTTCTCCTCTCTGGGAAGTTGCTTTTTGTGTTCCTAGCTTCTGTAGCTTTTTTTTTTGTCTTTTTTTTTTCCAGGGCTGAGGACCAAACCCAGGGCCTTGCGCGCGCAGGGCAGGCGCCCTTCCACTGGGCTAAACCCCCAGCCCCTGTTCCTAGCTTCTGATCCTTACACTTTTCCAGGGAGGCTGGGATGTCAGCTCTTAGCTCGGCTCCACAGCCCTCTTCGGTTCCAAAGCAGTACATAGCGTAGGTTGGCCAGCCTCTGTATCTTAGTCCAGATGCCAGGAGAGAACACTTGGTTGGTTCTTCCAGGTCAAGATGATCATTCAGCTCTTAGCCAGACCGCTGTGGCCGGGCTCCCTTCAGGATGGGATGGAGAGGTTCTCTAAGTAGGGAGTACAAATGTACCTCTAAGCCTTCCTTCAGCTGTCCTGTGACCAGTCCTTTCGCTGTGTGTGGCAGCCATTGTTCTCAGGGCAAGGGTATATTTTGTTCATAACTTTGTCCTAGAGCCTGGTAACACCCTGACACCCACAACCTCAGATCTAAAGCAAGCGAGCCACTTTTTTTTTTTTTTTGCCAGTCCTGGGGCTTGAACAAGATCTTTTGCTCAAGGCTAGTGCTCTACCACTTGAGCCACAGCACTACTTCTGGTCTTTTCTGTTTATGTGGTGCTGAGGAATCAAACCCAGGACTTCATGCATGCTAGGCAAGCACTCTACCACTGAGCCACCTTCCCAGCCCTGTAGACTCTAACTTGACAGAACTCAAATGCTCAACAGACTTAGAAGAGGAAAAAAACCACAAACAAAGCATCCGTGGGAGTACAGGGGCCCAGGCTTTCTCCAAAGACTGGAAACCATTTCCCAGAATGACCCAGCAAAGTTTCCTCTCTCTGCACAACTGTCCAGCACTTGCACTGTGAGCCTCTGCCTAGGACTACAGAGAAGCTCTTCCAGATGTGGTCCATTAGGACCCCAGCCTCGGGGCCATTATTCCCCTCTTTCCTCAGCCTTCCCTCGAAAACTCTCAACTGAGCCCCTTGGAGATCCTATCTTGCACAGAGTGAGACTGCACAGAACGACTGAAGGAGCGTTTGCTTAGTATCCACATAGCCTGCGGAAAAGATAGTGCTTCCTTCCCTCCCAGACCCCTGATGCCTCTCTGGGCCCATTCTCTCCTGCCACCTGTCCCCTGCAGGCCTCGAACCCTCTGTGGCAATCCCGGGGCTCCACGGCTGTGTCATCAGGAGGCCGTTTCCGCTGCCCATCTTGCAGGCATGAGGTTGTCCTGGATCGACATGGAGTCTATGGCCTGCAGCGAAACCTGCTAGTGGAGAACATTATTGATATTTACAAGCAGGAATCCTCCAGGTGAGCTGGGAAGGCCTCTCCCTGCTCTCCAGGGCAGGTCTGGGACTCAGCCAAGAGACTCATCAGGATGGACAGAAGCAAAACCTGTTCTTCTTAGAAAGGAGAGAATCTGTGGCCAGCCAGCTGGGGTGGGGGAGCTGGTCAGTGCTGTGCCCTCAGCCTGTCCTCCTGGAGTGAGACCACAGGTCACCTACAGATACCTGACTTCACTGGCCCTCTAGGACTTCCAGTCAAGATGTCATGGGACATCTTTGCCCCCTAGAATCAAGACTCTCTGTCACCCCGTCCCCTCCCCTCCAGGCCACTGCACTCCAAAGCGGAGCAGCATCTCATGTGTGAGGAACATGAGGATGAAAAGATCAACATCTACTGCCTGAGCTGTGAAGTGCCCACCTGCTCTCTCTGCAAGGTCTTTGGGGCCCACAAGGACTGTGAAGTGGCACCACTGCCCACCATTTACAAACGCCAGAAGGTATCAGGCGAGGGGGGGGGAGAGGGGGCCGGGCAAGGGAGGGGCCAGCCTCTTACTCCATTTGGTTGTAAGGTCTAGTGAATCAAGGCTGAAATACCAGCCCTACATTTGACCTTGAGATAGTTACTCAACCTTCACGTCCTCATTGGAAAAGCAGGATGAAAGTGCCTACTTCTGAGAGCGGTTATACCCATAAAACGGGATAACAGATGAAAGCAAAGGTTTCAGTATGGTGGCTTCGATATTCTCAAGGGTCTCTCAGTAACATATAACTGCTTTCTATACAAACAGATTTCTGCTTTCTATACAAACAGATTGCCTGACACATGGGAAGTAATGTGGTCATTGGAGGGAATGAGGGTCAATAAATAGCCCACACCCTACCCTCAGCAACTCTGCCGCCTCTGTATCTATCTGAGCATCGCCACCACTGAGGTCAGGAGTCCACACTCCCCACTGCCCCTCATCATGTGCTTCTAACCTCTGTGGAGACCAGTCCTTTGGGGCCAAGGCGAAGGTCTGTGTAGGAATCAAAACATATTCAGATCTCTAGTCATTATATTCAGCAAGAACCTGTCTCAAAGAAAAAAGTAGAATAAAAAAAATGCCCAACAATCATAGAATATAAAAAAATGACTATGTAATGGCTGGCCATAGTGATGTTACTGTAACCCTAGCTGCTGGGGTAACTGAGTTCAGACAATAAAGAGTTCAAGAACAGCCAGAGCCACATAGCAAGACCATGTCTAAAAAAACCAGACCGTATCAATTTAACCAAATAGAGCTTTTTTTTTTTTTCTGCCAGTCCTGGGTCTTGAACTCAGAGCCTGGACCCTGTCCCTGAGCTTCTTTTGCTCCAAGCTAGTGCTCTATAGCTTGAGCCACAGCACCATTTCCAGCCTTTTCTGTTTATGTGGTACTGAGGAATCGAATCCAGGGGTTCATGCATGCTAGGCAAGCACTCTTACCACTAAGCCATATTCCCAGCCCCCCAAATAGAGCTTTTGAAAATTAAAAAAAAATGTAGTGGATGGATTAAGTGATATATTCCTCTGAAGAGAGAAATAGCACAGAAGCCAAAAACAAAAACAAAAACCTCAGAATGCAACAGTACTGGGAGGGAAGAAGGTTGAGGATGAGTAAAATCTAATATAAGCCTTATCAGATCCCCAGAATGAGAGAATGAAGAGAATGGAGCAAGGCCATATTAACTGAATGAGTATCCCTAAGACATTTTCAAAATTGAGGGATGATACAAATCTACAGATAAAACATCTAGTTAGTGTAGGTGTGTGTATAAAAGACACAATAAATCTTGCAACCAGGCATGGTGGCTCATGCCTGTAATCCTAGCTACTCAAGAGGCTGAGATCTGAGGATCACGGTTCAAAGCTAGTCGGGGCAGGAAAGGCCATGAGACTCTTATCTCCAATAAACCACTCAGAAAGCCGGAAGTGGTGCTATAGCTCAAATGGTAGAGCGCTTGCCTTGAGCTGAAGAGCTAAGGGACAGTGCCCAGGCCCAGAGTTCAAGCTCCATGACCAACAATCAAAATAATAATAATAGTAATAATAATAAATCTTGCAGACCTTTGGAGGATATCAGCTCCTTTCACATTTGGTGGTGTAAGGCTTTTCTCCATCTCAAATCCACAGAATGTTCTTCCATATTTCTTGAATGGTCTCCAACCTTCTAGATCTTTACAGATGCCTCACGCTGGGGGGAAGGCAGTCTTCACCTAGGTTCACTGAGGAGTGAGAAGGGTGTGGCTGCAGGCCAGATCCTCCAGCGCTAAGAGCTTCCCCTGTGTGTGTGTGTGTGTGTGTGTGTGTGTGTGTGTGTGTGTGTGTGTGTGTGTGTGTGGCAGAGCGAGCTCAGCGATGGCATCGCGATGCTGGTGGCGGGCAATGACCGGGTGCAAGCAGTGATCACGCAGATGGAGGAGGTGTGCCAGACCATCGAGGTGAGCCTGGGCCGGGAGAGAGAAGGAAACAGGTTTACTGACCGGGAGACTAGAATTGGTGGGGTGTGTCAAGCCAGCCAGCTCTCCTACTCGGCTATTTCAGTGACTTTCTCCCACTTACTTAACTTCTCCGTGATTTGGTTTTGTTTTTAATGACATTAAATAATGATGATAAGGAAAGTGGAGGCATTTTGAAGCTCCAGGCCAGCCCAGGCAATTTAGTAAGACCCAATCACTACACACACACACACACACACACACACACACACACACACACACAGAGAGAGAGCCAGGCTGGTGATACAGTGGCTGCTTCCTTGAGTCTTTTTGAGAATTAAACGAAAGTGAATGCAAGTCTAAACCAGGCCACAGATAGAGATCGCAGGCAGCGAAGCTACCTGTTCTGTTGTCCTTGTTGCTTCTGACAAGATGGGGGGGGGGGGGGGGGGCTCGTGTTGCGCCTTCAACTCTAACAGTGTGATCACAGTCAACTCACTCCTTCTTGGCTGTCTGTGAGTCCCAGTTAGTGGGGGGAGCGAGTTACACACCCATCTCCTGCAGCCCTGGGTTCTCAGCCTCACTTTCGTGCATGTTGACTTTGGGTCTTTCAGGACAACAGCCGCAGGCAGAAGCAGTTGTTAAACCAGAGGTTCGAGACCCTGTGCGCCGTGCTGGAGGAGCGCAAGGGCGAGCTGCTGCAGGCGCTGGCCCGGGAGCAGGAGGAGAAGCTGCAGCGTGTCCGCGGCCTCATCCGCCAGTATGGAGACCACCTGGAGGCCTCCTCCAAGCTGGTGGAGTCGGCCATCCAGTCCATGGAGGAGCCCCAAATGGCGCTCTACCTCCAGGTGGGCCCCCGGGGAAGAGCGGCAGCGGGGCACAGTGGCTGAGCCAGGGACCCGGGCTAGTCACCGGCTCCGCACCCCACCCTCGCCGCCAGCGGGGAAGGTCGGGGATGGGGCGCCCCGCGCTCACCCTCTCCCCCTTTTCCTTCCCTGCAGCAGGCCAAGGAACTGATCAATAAGTGAGTAGCCGGCGGGAAGGGGAGGGAAGGGAAAAGGTGGGAGGCGCGGGGAGAGGCTGGGGGCGCCGCCCCCTCGAACCTCCCTGGGCGCCCGCCGCAGGGTCGGGGCCATGTCGAAGGTGGAGCTGGCGGGGCGGCCCGAGCCGGGCTACGAGAGCATGGAGCAGTTCTCGGTGAGCGTGGAGCACGTGGCCGAAATGCTGCGGACCATTGACTTCCGGCCCGGTGAGAGCGCGAGGGTGGGGCGTGCGCCTCCAAACCCCCCGTCTGGAGAAGAGGTGGGGGCAGGACCGCCGGAAAAGCTGGGGTCCCACCCTCACCCGGGTCTCCTTGGACCCAGGAGCAGCCGGGGAGGACGAGGATGAGGAGGTGGCGTTCGACGGGGACGACGGTAACGCGGGCCCCGAGGAAGAGCGGCCGAGCGCATCAGAAAGTGAGTGACCCGGAGGCTGGGGGTGGGGACGGCTGGGGGAAGGAGGCTCGCGTCCCCTTCGGGGATGGTCCTAGGGGGCCACACCCCCCACCTCCCCCCAAGTGTCCCCCAGGCCTGGAGCCGCCGAAGAGCGCCCCCTAGCGCTCGGAAGGGCGCCCGCCCGTCCCGCCCGCATTCCTCCGCTCCCTAGCGGACCGGGCGGAGTCTGCGGGAGCGCTAAACCCGTGGACAGGGAAAGGCAGGACACGGGGCTTCCTTTGGAGCACCCGCCCAGCGCGCTCCCCCGCCCCCCAGGCCTGCACTGACCCGACCCCCGGTGGAGAGCCCGCCCCGGTCCCGCGCCAGCCTGGTGGAGGACCTGCGCCCGGAGCACCGGTCTCCGAGTCCCGCCTCGGGGGTGGGGCCTCAATAAAAGACCCTTGTGTCCCACACGCGAATCTCCTTCCGCTGCCCGCTCCCCTCGTGGTCTTCGGAGGCGACTTCGCCACCACCCTGCCTTTTCTTCCGCAACCGGAGACCATTTGGGGGCGGAGGTGAAATGAGTCCCCGCGCGCACCTTTTCCATGCCTGGTGCGAATCGTGAGCCCAGCACCCTGGGAGGAGGGTGGTGCCTCTGAATTCCGGGATCTGGGCGGGGAGCGGGGTCGAGGGGGGGGTTGACCGGGCAATGGCACCCCCAACAACCTGGTTGGAAGAACCCCCCCTCCCATAAGTTCCCCTCTGCTGCGGTTGCCCCGCGCCCTCACGACAGAAGCCAAAAGGCTCTTCAGCACTTTTATTACAAAATAGCCACGTGGAGGAGAGTGCTCCGGGGGTCTCCGGGCGCTCCGCGCGGCGGGCTGGGGTCAGTTCCGGCCGCACACGTTCCAATCCGGGGTGGAGGAAGGGGGTAAAGGACCTGGACGGGGCGGATCACTTGCCCACAGAGTCGAATATGATGCGGTTCTGCTCGGCGCGCTCCCGCTGGCTCTGCGTCCGCGCGAGCTCCAGCAGGGTCCTCAGCAGGTGGAAGGTGAGGTCGATGGACAGGGGCGGGGGGTCGTCCCGTCGCGGCCGCTCGCTGGTGGTCTCGGATTCCCACCGCGCGGGCCCCGCCAGGCGCGGAAAGCGCTCGGCCAGCAGCAAGAGCAGCGCACGGGCTCCCCGGCCCTGGCTCCGCGTCCCGGGGCTCCATCGCAGATGCGGGTCCTGGACCCCGGCCGCCGCCGCCGCCTCCGCTGCCTCCGCCGGGCTCCACTGACTGCTCCCGGGGTGTAGCGGTGCCAAGAGCAGCAGCGCCACCAGCAGCGCCGCGCAGCCCCTCGGTCTCATGGTGCCGCCGGCCCTGGACGCACAGGATCAGTGTGGGGGTGAGGCGCGCCGGGGACGGCTGCAGGGGGCGCGATCCCCTTCCCGCCCGCGCCCAGCGCCCCCGCTGGGACCCCTTGCCCACCAGCCCCCACGCTGCACCGGCTCTGTCCCATCCCTCTTGCCCTCCCTTCTTCCCTCCCGGTGATAACGGTGGATGGACTGGGCGCAAAGTCCTGGTGCGGAGGGAGTTTGGACCAAAGCTTTCAGCCACTCACAGGGGTGTCAGGGCGTCTGCCCGGCGCACGGTGGAGCTCCGGTGGGTCCCACGGGACGGGAGGAGGACGCCTTGGGGAATTCGGGGTCTGTCCCGGGACCGCCGCCAGCCTTATATAGCGCCAGGACAGCTCCGACTGACGTCAGCGGAGAGCAAGCACTGCTTGTGGAGGCAATGACAGCCACGGCTACCGGTCCAGCGGATTCCAGCCCCGAGGGGCGCTCCCCCCCCCCCCCCCCACCGCTTGTCCCTGGCCTAGTCTTGGAAGCAGCCCTGGACCAGGATAGCGAGAAGGTGGCCATACTGTAAAGGTTCCTCTGGGACAGGGCCTGGCCCCAGGCTGGGCTAGCCCCAGGTCTCCCCCCCCCCCCGCCCCCGCCCCCTTTCCCGCTCCCGCCCCCTCCCCCGCCCCACACCGCGGCACACTAAGAGTGCCAGACTAGGGGGCTGTCCATGGTGCTGACCCTCTCTGCCGGGGAGAAATAGGCCAAAGGTTCTGGGAGAACCTTATGCTGGTCAAATCCAGTCCTTATTCCTCCACTACCACGTTGACAAACTGAGGCAATCTGGAATGTATGCAGGCACCCAGCCAGAGGACCCTGTCACCGCCAGTCTTCCAGGGTCCTTGACCTTATTACAGCCCCAGAATTAAATTCTATGGCTGTTTGCCTGGGGCACTGTATAAAAAAGAATCGGGCTCTGGTGGCTCACATTGGTAATCCTACCTATTTAGGAGACTGAGATCTGAGGATTGTGGGTTGAAGCCAGCCTGGGCAGGAAAGTCCGTGAGACTCTTATTCTCTAATAAACTACTCGGAAAAAAGCCAGAAGCTCAAGTGGTAGAGTGCTATCCTTGAGCAAAAGAAGCTAAGGGACAGCATGCAGGTCCTAAGTTCAAGCCCCAGGCTTTCAGATCACAAAAGGCCAGTCTATCTGTTTCTTATTTTTCCCACAATGATAGTTTAACATAGGTCACTCATAGCAGCAGTTTTATTATGCCTTTCACCTAGTTCAGGTCATTGGGAAGGAAATAAGGAAATTTGGATTCCAGTTTCTACTCTGCCACTAGCACATGGTGAGGGCGTGTCCTTCACTTTTATGGACTTCAGTGTTCACCCTTTTATTTTCATTTTTGTTAGTCCTGGGGCTTGAACTCAGGGCCTGCACATTGTCCCTGAGCTTCTTTTGCTCATTGCTAGTGCTCTACCACTTGAGCCACAGTGCCACTTCCAGTTTTCTGTTGGTTAATTGGAGATAAGAGTCTCATGGGTGGGCTGGGAAGGTGGCTTAGTGGTAGAGTGCTTGCCTTGCATGCCTGAGGCCCTGGGTTCGATTCCTCAGCACCACATAAACAGAAAAAGCCAGAAGTGGCACTGTGGCTCAAGTGGTAGAGCGCTAGCCTTGAGCTGAAGAGCTGAGGGACAGCGCCCAGGCTCAGAGTTCAGGTCCATGACCGGCAAAAAAAAAAAAGAGTCTCATGGGCTTTCCTGCCCAGGCTGGCTTTGAACTGTGATCCTCATGCCTCAGCCTGCTGAGTAGCTAGGATTGCAGATGTGAACCACCAGTGCCTGGCTGGTGTCCACCTTTTTAAAAGAAGGGTGGGCTTGGAGGCCCACACTTCTTTTCAGCTATATTTTATATAATTTTCTGCTGGTTTCACTCATGACATCTGCAGTTTCCAGATTACATACTTAATAAAATATATTTACTGAGGAACCAATAAAGAATTTGCAAGGGTCCAAAGAGCACTAGGATAGAGAAAGGTAAGAGTAACTGTGCAAAATGGGGATGGATGCTCTTTCTTGGAATGTGGGTATAAAGTTGAAAAGGCCACATAGTTCAACAATTATTTGTGGAATGTGTACTATGTGGAAGGAATATGATAACAATGTTTCGATTAATGACAGACATAATGATAGACAATATATCAGAATTATAACAGCTGAAAAATTCTTACCACCTAGTTACAGAAGCTATTGTAACATCATAGTGCAATACATTATTCATGTAATTCTAGCAGAGACAAGCCTACAAGCCAGTTGTAGAAAAGTATGGCATATTTAATTATGTACAGTAATACAACTTGATAATAAATGACAATGTTACTGGTTAATGTATTTACTGTATCATTACAGTGCATCACTACTTATGAAAAAGCTTTCTCTGAAACAGTAAGCCATGTTACGCTGGCAGAGCCTGATATATCTTTTGTTTACTGTCTTTTTTTTGTAGTACTCAGTGTCTTGCTCTTGCTAGGTAGGCACTCTACCACTTAAGCCACACTTCCAGACCTGCATCTCATTTATATCAGGATGCCACATCAGTGGCTGACTTATACCATCTAGGCCCATGTAAGTATGCTCTCTAATATTCACACAATGAAACTAATGACAGTTCTCAGACCTGGTTCTGGTGATTTCAGAAGCAGTCTGTGCCGTTTCAGAGTGCTAACCCCAGTAAGGTCCACCCCAGCAAGCCTGCCCCACAGAAAGGGATGTGCCCACTCTGAGAAGGTGATCTAACCATTTCAGGATCAAGGTGCATCACTGCAAGGTAAGAGTGACAGGACAAAGTAGCTTTAGTGCTGATGCGCTTTCCAGGACAGGTAGGAGTTCCAGACAACAGCAACACACTGGACAATGGCCAACCTAAGGAAGAGGGATACACTTGTGAAGAGGAAGAAGAGAGAAGTAGAGAAGGGACAAGTTAGGGAAAGTATGACCAAAAAGAAGGGCTTATTCTGGGAATTTCCAGATTTGGGTTTCCTTCAGCCCCTCTGGAGGAACTATGCAGCTCACACCAGAGGACAGCCAGCTCAGATGCAATGCTGTCTCAGAGGAAGGTCTCAGAAGCTTAAATATCCCAGCAGGTCTCCTGTCACCCACAGCTCTGTGATCTGCTCCTCGGTGTAGGCTCTTTCTAAATACATTCATCTGTCCATCCTGTACCTACAGAGATTTCACTTTCCAAAATGTGCTGCCTGCCATATTAAGTGGCACCTTCTTTATTTTAACCTTGATCTAGTTTTAGAATGCTGTGAAGAATTCAAATGTTTAGGATATGGTTTGCAAGTCCCTAGTCTTCTCTAAAGAGTTTCATATTTTGCCCATGCCCAAGACAGTTTGTCAGCAAGCATTTTAACAATTCATCTTGAGTTCACCTCTATTATTTATTTATTATTCTTTTTGGGGGAGATTTGAACAAGGAAACTCACACTTACATGGCTTGCTTGCTTGGCTGTTGCTCTACTGAGTCATCCCTCCATCCTAGCTTTTTGCTGGTTAACTGCAGGTAGAGACTCATAGACTATTTGAACTGTGACCCTCCAGATGCCAGCCTCCTGAGTGAACTAGAATTACAGGTGTGAGCCACTGGTACTCAGCTCTATTTTTTTTTTTTCTTTTGAAACAACTTTTATTATCAGGTCAAAATAATGCTTCATGTTGACCCTTAGTTCTAACTTTTGAAATTAGGCTTCCAGTATAGCATAGACAGGCCGTGTCCCTGCAGATAAGCCATCAACGCTGGAGAGCTCAGGTGGAGTATGGACAAGAGCTGTGGAGACAGAACCCTCCCTAGGAATGTGACAGGTAAACAGGAATACTCCAGGCCAGTTTCTCTAAAGGATCAGAGGTTCTAGATAAACTGCTTGGGAATCTGAGGAGCTCTGCCTAGGGAGGTAGGAGTTGACTGGGGAGGTCTAAAGGAAGTCAAGGTTGAAAGAAAAAAAATCTTGTCTCCAACTCTTGGTAACCCAGCTCTTCCTTGAAAGGTAAGGGGCTGGGAATGTGGCTTAGTAGTAGAATGCTTGCCTAGTATGCATGAAGCCCTAGGTTCAGTTCCTCAGTACCACATAAACAGAAAAGCCAGAAGTGGCACTGTGGTTCAAGTGTAGAGTGCTCTGAATTCAAGTCCCAAGAAAAAAGAAAAAAAACAAAAAAGGTAAGGTAGGGATCTGTCATACCTGTAATGCAGGGGGACCAAGTAGAAGTTGGCTAGCTGCACAGCGGGCCAGAGCTACAAGAAGAGAAGGCGAAAGTCAGTGGCTTCCTCCCACCAGAGCTCCAGACTCACCCATGCCTGCTCCTGCCCCAGCTCCTACACACGAAAAGCTAAATGTGAGTGCTTCCCTGAGCATGGTGCCCACATGGGGAAATGAGACAGTAATCCCATCAGAGGGATTCCTGTGCCAGCTGAAGGATTGGTTCTTACATAGTAGTTGGTGATGAGGGCATCAGGATAATCCTGGGGGAAACAGAAGGAAGAATTAACACTTGCACACCCAAGCCGCTGCCCTCACCCTGCATGAGTATCACCAAGGGACCCAGAGCACACTCCTGCCCCAAACTCCCCTCAGCTCCTTTCCTCCCTGCTCAGAGACTCTCTTCACACTTTACTTTTGCCTGTCTTCTTTCCCCGTGTCAGTCCTCTGGCCAGCAGAGATCCACTCACCCGCTGTAGTTTAGCCCAATTGTCCTGGGCTGACAGTCCATTGAGTGTCCCTACCAGTGGGAGGAAGCAACCCAGAAAACATGGGGCAAAACCCCCCTAGGGAAGAGAAGTTAGAACCCGTTAAGTACCCCACCATTCCCGGGTGCACCTTCCCCAACTATTTTCTCCTTTGCTCACCTGATCCAATAACATCTTCTTAAGTGCATCCACCTTGGTGGTACCAGGGATGAACCGATCCAAAACTTTGTACCAACCTCCTACAACAGGGCCCTGAAAATAAACCCCAGACAGCGCTGCAGGATGCAGTGAGGGGCACTTTATTTTCCTATTGCAAAGCTCTGTTCCCAAGCATTAGAAAACAAATCCAGGATGAGGTAGACACTGGGACAAAAAGAGGGGGGCAGGCGAGCGTAGAAATGTGAGGCCAAGGAAAACTACAGGAGAGCGGGAAATGAATTCCACTGTCCAGTGCAATCAGAACTTACCACAAAGCCACAGCCCAGGGCTACCATGGTCAAGGTACGGCCTGTCTGGTGTTCCTGCAGACCCCGCCTCTCCACGAGCTGCTGTGAGATAATGTCACCTAGGCCCATCAGGGACCCTGTGCAGGGTACACAGTGAGTGTCAGAATCTCTCCTGAGAAAGGAAAGTCTGCTGATTGAGGCTCTGGCACTGAGCCCCAGGGCTTCATTCTAGCAAATGATCAGCCCCTTCCTGCCACTTCAGAGCCCTCCACTCCTCTAGGATGCTAACACCACATGTGTGTCCAATAGAAACTGGATGGCTAGACCAGGGCCCAAGAACTCTGCATTGAATGGCAGAGTTCTAAAAAAGAAATACCCTAGCAAACACAAAACTTCAGAAAGCAGGAGAACCTAAGGTCCCAGGGCTGAGAACTGTTGGCTGTTGAGACTGAATGGGGCCTTCCAGATTATTTCATCCCCACACTGATTTTTCAGATATGAGCATGAAACTCTGGGATCTTAGATAACCAGTAAATGCCAAGCCTAAGTAGTTTGTCACCTAAACACTGTCATTTTTAGTTCTAGAAGGAATGTCATACTGTGACTAGATCATATGTACAACAGTAAGAAATTCTCTTTTCTTTTTCCCTTAGCCTAATGTAAGACCCTGGCCAATGTGCTTCACATTAGACTTGAGGTCTCTATTTGTACAGAAGGCAAGGATAACTCTTTTCCTAAAACATGAAAGCTCAAATGGGCCCAGGTAGAAAGATGACTTATTGAGCTAGTAAGAGTCCCCTCAAGGAAGAGTCCTAGGTACCTCTCCATACAATCAACCTAAATCCAGACTCTCAGATTGAGTTGGCAACAGGAATTAGAGTCATCCTCCCCCTACCACAGGCCTCTGCATTCCCCCAACTGCACAGATGCTCAGCTCTAAGACGCTTTAGGCAGTCACTGTCACTATTTACAGAGACCCTAGTCAGTCATGGTGGTGTGATGATTTCTTGCAAAGACACTAATGTAGGCCACTGGGGAGTAGCCATATGATCTCCAGCTCACCCATGTATCTCACTGCGTAATGAGAGCCCTCTCCAGTCCTGAAGCCACTGCTGTCCCTATGCCCTCAATTATCCCTGAGCAAACACATCCTTCAACCCTGTGCCTCAGTCTAGAGCTGGTGCTGACGTCCACACTGGCTACACACTTACTGCTCTGTGTTTCCCCCATACCCTCTGAAGAGCCCCACCCCTGAACAGCCTAGGCAGAGGCAGCTAGGAAAAGCTAGGAGCCAGGGATGAGGATAGTCACCTCTAGATGACCTGGACTGCTGGTCATCAAGCAGCTCTGAGACACCCTGGCAATCCTGCCTTAGTTCCGCCCGAAACTCCCAAAGTGGCTCTTCCCAGAACACATGACCTCCCAAGGGCAAGCATGCCAGAACCTTTGGTTCTCTTATTTCCTATCACACCTAACCAACTCCTTGCTAGGTGCTCAGAAAATCAAAGGAAAAATGTCAACTGTATGGCTCAAAACAATAGGACTGGTCTGGGAAAAGTCATGCAGATTCTAAGGCTTGGGGTTGGGGTGTGGCTTAGGTGGTAGAGTGCCAGCCAATAAGCGTGAACATCAGATACCAAGTTTGAGTCCTGGTTGAGGGGGTGGATTCTAAGCCTGGTGTGAAGAACATGTCAAGCTCAGGTATTGGGACAATGGAGAACTGAGTTTATTCACCAACCCAAACAGTGCTTCCCTGTGCCCCACCCTTGAGGCCTGGCTGGGAGAGGGAGGAGTGAACCCAGAAGCCTGAGGCACTGGGTAAGTAAAGGGATGGACAGTCTGATAGTCTACCTAGGCTGATGCTACAGATTACAGACTCCTAAAATCCCCACTAAAGCTCCCTGAAGTTGGTGGTTATGTGTCCATAAAGGAAAGAGCCCCTGAGAGATGAGGTAATAAGTTGTGAAGCTGGGATCAACTCAGACCAAAAGAAGCAAGGAGGTCAAGGCATTCCCAGCCTAAGCTGAGATGAGTTCAGAGACCAATGGGCATCTCCAGTCTCCTGTCCAAGCAGGGTCCCAAAGGGCCCATGTATCAAAGATGTTTCCTGAACTGATAGACTTCCCCCCACCCCACACACCCTTCTTTCTTGTCGGTCATGGGGCTTGAACTCTGGGCCTAGGCGCTGTCCCTCAGCTCTTCAGCTCAAGGCAAGCACTCTACCACTTGAGCCACAGTGCTACTTCCAGTTTTCCGGTGGTTAATTGGAGATAAGAGTCTCTCACAGACTTTCCTGCCCAGGCTAGCTTTGAACCGTGATCTCAGCATGAGTAGCTAAGATTACAGGCATGAGCCACCAGTGCCCAGCCCATTTCCAGTAACCACTAAAAAGCTGAAAGTAGAGTTGTGGCTCAAGTGGTACAGTGTCTCAAGTCCCAACCTTGAGCTCCCCCCCCCTACTCCCCACCACACACAAAAATAACCAAAATCCAAATGAGAGTCAAGCCCTAGATTCAAGTCTCAGTACTGACACACAACAAATAAAACAAACAAGAGTTAGAATGAAAACTCAAAGCCCTGATCCCACAGTCTTGGAGACTTTCAACCATTGAGAAAGATGGATTCTAGGCTTCCAATATTCCCATGAAGCCAGAAGGACTCCCAAGTCATAGAGAAACAGCAAGAGCAGGGGAGGGGTGGTGTTGGTGGTGGCAGTGTAGCGGTCTGTACTTCTAGCCTAGTCTGGTCATTTTAGACAGGTCGGTCCCAAGTTTGTCCTTTGTCCACAGATGATCAGGGCCCTGGATCAGGGCCCCTGCGGCAAGTCCAGTACCATCTAAAACTAGGTCAAGCAAAGAACAAGGCCTGCATTTCTGGCCCCAACCATTCTTTGAGCAAGTAGAAGTCAAATATTCTGACTCTTCATCCTTCCTTCCCCAACGCAGAGCCTAAGTATCCAAACTACACTAGACTCTAGAAGACCTCCTGGATATATTTGGTTCTTCTGGATCTTTCAACACTCTGGCTCCCTTCTCCTTGGACTCAGGAGTTGGGACTGAAGGCCTGCAGACACGTAATACCCAGAGTTCTGATGGCACAGGGAAAGATGCTACTGGGCAGTTATGCCCAATGCCAGGCTGGGCACAGAGCCCAGTGAGCAGACACTGGCGTGGGTGTGACATCATGCCCCTGGATAGATGCCAGTTCTCATGATGTCACTCTGCACTAGGTCTGGAGGTGGGGGAAGAGAAGCCTGCTTCTGGGCACCATCCCCTACCCACCAGTGGAAAAGCCCCAACCACATACCTGTGAGAACAAATTCTATAGTGATATGGGAATTGTTCCCCATTGATTTGTGTATACATGCATGTGCATGTCATGTGTGTGTGCATGTGTGTGTGCTTGCATGCTGGTCCAAGGGCATGAACTCGGCCTCAGTTTTGTACCTGAGCTTTTTTGCTCAAGGCTATTAGCCCTTTACCACTTGAGCCACAGATCCACTTCTGGTTTTGGGGTGGTTAATTGAAGTCTCATAGACTTGCTTCAAACTGTGCTCCTCAGATCTAGCCTCCTGAGTAGCTAAGATTACAAGTGTGAACCACAGACACCCAGCTTCCCCATGATCTGGCCCAGGGCCCAGGGAGAGCTGAATCCTACGAGGGAAGGGAAAACTCATTCCATGGGATGGGTCTGTAATGTTGTCCTTACTCCTGGTCTTAACTCTGTCTTGTTGCTAGAAAATAAGACAGAATGGATAGCTTAAGTGCTTAGGGTGAGCCAGTGGGATCACATCCCCAGGCCCAGTAGTCTCAAGTACAGGGTAGAACAGGAGGCAGCGCCCTAGGTTCTATCACTGACAGTGTGAGACTTCAGTGCACCTCACTCCCTGTTCCGGACTCCATTTCCCTTTCTGTACTACTGGGCTAAACTGGATCATCTCCAAGACCTGTTTGAGCTGTCATCCCTGGCTCGTTTAATTCAGGTTCCAGGGAAACCAGGAGTTTAGCTGCTCCCATAGTGGGGCAGGTTGCCTAAGATGGATGGATCTGGGAGTGGAAGGGCCCTGCAGAGGGGAAGGGGAAGGGTGACTCAGACTCTGTAGAGCACACAGCCAACCTCTCCCCACACCACTGCTCCTGACGCGGGCTTGGCCCAAACTGATAAATTATGGACACTTCCGTTGAACCATTTTAGATTTTGTTCCAGCTATGGCTGTGGTTCAGCCTGACAGACCCTTGCTTAGACTCATGATACCTCACTACTGGTGCCTTCAGTGACTGTATGCAATAAGGTAATGGAAGGGAACTGATGTTCCTTGGGGTGAAACTTTGGCCAATGTGGGATAGAAGCTGGTGAATAAAGGTGTCATCCTTTCTCTAAAAAGAACTATTTATCCTAAAAAAAGATTTCAAAGAGCTTCTTGATCCATTCCAAGAAATGAAGCCACTAGTAGCCCTGAAGAGTGGCCAATTTGTAAATGGACTCTTACATTAGTTTTTCTTTCTTTCCTACTTCTTAACAAAGCACTTGTCTATAAACTCTAGGTTCTGCTTTTTGGAAAACCAAAGTGAAGACATTATCCATGTCCACATTTATGCTATGTGGAACAAACCCAACCCCAAACCCATTATGAAAAATAGTTTGTTGCCGGGCACTGATGGCTCATGCTTATAATCCTAACTACTCAGAGGGCTAAGGTCCGAGGATTGTGGTTTGAAGGCAGCCCAGGCAGAAAAGTTCATGAGACTCTTAACTCCAGTTAATGACCAAAAATGCCAGAGTGGAGCTGTGTCTCAAGTGGTAGAGCAGCAGCCTTGAGGGAAAAAAATGCTCAGAGACATTACCCAGGCACACACCACACACACACACACACACACACACACACACACACACAAAGTTATTTTAATTAATTTTTGGTTTTGGGTTGCCAATAGCCACAGCAAAGTTTAGTGCCTTGAGCTTTTAAGTGTATTGTATTTTTTTTTTTGTTTGTTTGTTTTGGTGCCGGTACTGTGGCTTGAAGTCAAGGCCTGGGTGCTATCCCTCAGCTTTTTCCCTCAAGTCTGGTTCTCTACCACTTGAGCTAGAGCTCTATCTCCAGCTCTTAACTAGTTAACTAAAAACTGGAGTCCTAGATTTCTCTCCTCTATCTGGCTTCCAACCTTGAGTATCAGATCTCAGCCTCCTGATTATAGGCAAGAGGCACCTGTGCCTGGCTAATTATTGTAATTTTTTTTAAATCACCAAATCCTCTTCACAGAGGTAATCCCTATACTGACTTTGTAAGGTTGTAGAACTCAGCTCAAGTTCTAAATGAGGAAACTGAGGCCCAGAGAGGCTTACTGACTTGTACCTTAAGGCAAATACTAAGTGCTATAGCTAGAGATCCAAATCTCTGTCTTCTAACTCCAAGTCTGAAGTCTGTTCTGTTTTCCAATATGATGAGCTATCCTACAGGATTGCAGGAACTGTTGAGTTGGAGTCCAAAAATGGCCCAATGAGCTAAATCTACTTCCTCTATTTGTAGGTTGGCTCAAATACACTGAGTAGCAAAGAAGAAAATGTCTGAAAGGTTTGAAATAGTCTGACAAAAAGTGCTAGAAAGTCGGGCGCCAGTGGCTCATGCCTGTAATCCTAGCTACTCAGGAGGCTGAGATATGAGGATCACGGTTCAAAGCCAGCCCGGGCAGGAAAGTCCTTGAGACTCTTTTTTTTTTTTTTAATTTTTTTTGGGTCCAGTCATGGGGCCTGAACTCTGGGCCTGGGCGCTGTCCCTCAGCTCTTCAGCTCAAGGCTAGCGCTCTACCATTTGAGCCACAGCGCCACTTCCGGCTTTTTTCTTTTTGCTTATGTGGTGCTGAGGAATCGAACCCAGGGCCTCTGGCATGCAAGGCAAGCACTCTACCACTGAGCCACCTTCCCAGCCCAGTCCTTGAGACTCTTATCTCCAATAAACCACTAGAAAACTGGAAGTGGTGCTGAGGCTCAAGTGGTAGAATGCTTGCCTTGAGCTAAAGAGTGCAGGGACAGCGCCCAGGCCCAGTATTCAAGCCCCAAAGTGCTAGAAGGCTACAGGTTGTTTTAGGTCTGAACTGGAATATCAGCTTAGCCTTGGGAGGATTGAGAATATGATGCTCAAGGGCCCCAGCACAGATAAGACTAAACCCCCATTCAGCCTCATTTCTGTGTTTGGGCCCCCTTGGAGCTTTAATTCTTGCCTTTTTTAGCTACAGATCCCTTGGGGAGAAAAACACAAGGACTATCCCTCCCACCTTATTCTTGATGGCCATGATGGGGAACCTTCCATCTGGCAGTGATGGGCCCTGAGGGAATCTGAGGCTGGGCAAAGGGCCCAGCGTGTCAGTTTCCATCACAGCCACACAGTCCAGCATGAGTCACCACACACAGAGCCAGGTGAGTCATGCAGGCTGACCGACACTCTGAGGACAGGACAAGAGGTTGTTGGGCCCAGGAAACTGGAAAGGGGCTAGAGAGAGGTAAAAAGTCCATTTTCTGGCCAGTCATGCAGTGAGGTTGGCTTCTAGTGCTGATGTAGGACTATTCTGGTGAGAGGATCCCTATTCCATTCTAACTTTCAGTTGCCTCCTATCCCTCCCAAAAAGTCCTCTTCTCAGCCCACAGTCCTCTAAACATTGGCAAGACCCCATTTTAACATGACCACTTTTTGCTTTTTCCTGGATGGTAAGAGGCCTGCTGATGCTTCCCCTACCAAACTTATCTCTGTGCCATTTTCTTGCAGCGAGGAACCTAGGTTACTTTTTCAAGATTGCTACTCCATTACTGGACTTGGAGTTAACAACAACAACAAGAAACCTTGGTTAGCCAGATGATGGTGGCTCATACCTGTAATGCTAGCTACTTGGGAGGCTAAGATCTGAGGATCATGGTTCAAAGCTAGCAGGAAAGTCTGTGAGACTCTTATCTCCAATTAGCCACCAGTAAAACAAAAAATGGAGCTAGTGCTCAAGGCACTAGCCTTGAGCAAAAGAGCTCAGGCACTGAGTTCAAGACCCCCCCCCTCAAAAAAATAAATAAAACAAAACAAAAACCCTTGGTTGATATAGTTTGGGGAGTCACACATAACAAATGATAAGAAAAACAAATGAGTGAGGAAAAAACTCAGCAAAGTAGTAATCCCTTGGAATATACGAATTTGGAAGAGATGAATAAAGAGGTCCTAAAGGTGGTTACTGATTCTGAATTTCGGTTTTAGTATTGTTTAAATTGCAGATGCATGTGTATTTTACAATAAAAATACTACACAAGGCCAGGCACTGGTGAGACTCTTATTTTTTTTGTTGTTGTTGTTGGTTGTAGGGCTTGAATTCTAGGCCTGGGTGCTATCCCTGAGCTTTTCAGCTCAAGGCGATTGCTCTACTACTTGAGTCAAAGAGCCACTTCCGGTTTTCTGGTGGTTTATTGGAGATCAGAGTCTCACAGACTTTCCTACCTGGGCTGGCTTTGTACTGTGATCCTCAGATCTCAGCCTCCTGAGTAGCTAGGATTACAGGTGTGAGCCACCAGAGCCCAGCTCCATGAGACTCTTATCTCCAATTAACCACCAGAAAACTGGAAGTGGCACTGTGGCTCAAGTGGGAGAGTGCTCGCCTTGAGCTGAAGAGCTCAGGGACAGTGCCCAGGCCCAGAGTTCAAGCCCCATGACCGACAAAAAAAATAAAAAATAAAAAAATAAATAAATTCTACACAGAAAATAAACTGGAGGGCTGGGAAGGTGGCTCAGTGGTAGAGCACTTGCCTTGCATGCCTGAGGGCCTGGGTTCGATTCCTCAGCACCACATAAGCAAAAAGAAAAAAGCCGGAAGTGGCACTGTGGCTCAAGTGGTAGAGCGCTAGCCTTGAGCTGAAGAGCTGAGGGACAGCCGGGCACTGGTGGCTCACGTCTGTAATCCTAGCTACTCAGGAGGCTGAGATCTGAGGATCACGGTTCAAAGCCAGCCCGGGCAGGAGAGACCGTGAGACTCCTATCTCCAATAAACCACCAGAAAACCGGAAGTGGCGCTGTAGCTCAAGTGGTAGAGCGCTCACCTTGAGCTGAAGAGCTGAAGGACAGCGCCCAGGCCCAGAGTTCAAGCCCCACGGCCGACCAAAAAAAAAAAAGAAAAAAGAGCTGAGGGACAGCACCCAGGCCCAGAGTTCAGGCCCCATGACCGGACCAAAAAAAAAAAAAGCAAAACAAAACAACAAAAAAAAAGAAAATAAACTGGAGTAAGAGTCTTAGTTTCAGCACTTATTGTGTTAATGTGGAGTCAAGTGATTCTAACTCACAGACCTTTGAGGTCTGTAGTTGAGGAGTAGTTATGACACAATGTCTACAAAAGTGCTTTGCAGGCAGGTGATGGTGGCTCACAGTTCTAATCCTAGCTACTCGGGAAGCTGAGCTATGAGGATCACCGTTCCAAACTAGCCAGGGCAGGAAAGCCCATAAAACTCATCACCAATTAACTACCAAGAAGCTAGAACTAGAACTGTGGCTAAAGTGGTAGAGTGCTAACCTTGAGCAAAAAAGCTCGGGGACAATGCCCAGGCTCTAGGACTAAGGCAGGGTAAATTAGGAAAAATGAGGCCTGGTGAAGGCAATTCAGAAACTAGGTAGTTAAAATCAGAAGCACCATTTATGTTCCAAAGAAAAACAACAGGATGCATTCCTTTCAGAGAGATGCATTTCTCACCCAAAGAGTTAATATTTGCTTGGCAAGATATATGCTTTCCTGAGAGAAATGCTCCCCCAAAATGTAAGCAACCTCCTACTCAAAATGTAGACACCAGGATGCCTTTCTTATCTCAAGGATAAGCATCCATTTTATGGCAGGATGAATTCTTTTGGGACGAAATGGCCAAAACATTCAGAAACAGAAAGTGTTATAATACCAATGTGATTGAGAGCAAAGACAAACTCCTATCTTTTCCTATCTTTAAGTCAGACCCCCTACCTTTACCATATAAAGATTCCTGACATCCAAAGAACTGTATCTCTCTCTCCCTTTGAGAGCACTCACAGAGTGTGAGTACTTGTCTATCTGATTGCCTGCTTATTCAATAAATCTCTGCCAAGTTTTCTTAACATTATGACTTTTCCAGAAATTCCTATTCTGTGATTGAAGTCAAGAACCCTAAGTGAAGAGTCTACTTGTAAAGGGAAACTTCACTAACCTTCACCTGCATTTGGTGACGACTGGTGTGTGTGTGTACCTGTGTGCGTGCTCACACACACAAAGTGCTTTGCGTACTATAAAATGGTGGGGGAGAATTTGTTAATTTTCAATTTGAGGCCTCTTGGGGCAATGCCTGTAATTTATTTATTTATTTGGGGCTTGAACTCTGAGCCTGGGTGCTGTCCTTGTGCTTGCTCTTCAGCTCAAGGCAAGGCTCTACCGCTTGAGCCACAGCACCACTTCTGGTTTTCTAGTGGTTTCTTGGAGATAAGAGTCTCACAGACGGGGCTGGGAAGGTGGCTCAGTGGTAGAGCGCTTGCCTTGCATGCCTGAGGCCCTGGGTTTGATTCCTTAGCACCACATAAGCAAAAAGAAAAAAGCCGGAAGTGGTGCTGTGGCTCAAGTGGTAGAGTGCTAGCCTTGAGCTGAAGAGCTGAGGGACAGTGCCCAGGCCCAGAGTTCAAGCCCCACGACTGGACCAAAAAAAAAAAAAGAGTCTCACAGACTTTGCTGCCGGGGCTGGCTTTGAACCGTGATCCTAGATCTTAGCCTCCTGAGTAGCTAGGATTACAGGCGTGAGCCACCGGCGCCAGGCTTATTTATTTTTATTTATTATTATTATTATTTTTGTCGGTCGTGGGGCTTGAACTCTGAGCTTGGGCGCTGTCCCTCAGGTCTTCAGCTCAAGGCGAGCGCGCTACCGCTTGAACCACAGCGCCACTCCCATGCCTGTATTTTAAAGGATGGATTGCTCAGCCAACTATGCAAACCCTTTAAAATTAGCCTTAGGAACTCACCGTTCCAAACACACAGATTGGGATAAGTAACGGCCAACCCTTGCAAGAGGCTGAATAGAGCAGGAAATGAAATGATGCTCCCTGACTCCCAAATCAGCCTGTTCTGGTCCTATCCTAGTCCCAGAGACACACTCACCAGCTGTCAGGACCTGGACTTTCCACGGGTGCGCAGCTAGGGCCCTCTGGTATGCCCGCCAGAGTGCCATGCCTCCTGTCAAGCCAAAAGGAGAGGGTCACTCCCACGGCCCCCGTGCACAGTCAAAACCACGCCTGACTTTCCCTGGTGCTCACCCTTTCTTCCTCTCTCCACTTCCTTGTGGGAAGGACAGAGGCCTCACGAGGGACGCTCCCCGGACAGAATCCTGCCACTGGGCCACCTCAGACAACTGGGGAAGGATGTGGGCAGCTGTGGACCCCGGTGGCAGCGGCCTGCGACCTCCAGTCCTTAGGCTGGGCTGAGGCTTCCGTGCCAGAAGGGACTCCAGCCTCCACCTAGAGCTTGGGTCCCCCGAAAATGATAGCAGTCATTCTCTACATTCAGACTCGGTTGGAACTAAATCATATGCTTCCTGAGTGCAACCCTGCGCTAGAAACAGCCCGTCACCGCCAGGCCCGGCAACGGCCACAGCAATGGCAGCGGGTGGGACGCCGAGCGCTGCAAGCCGGCCAGCACAGATCACTCACCTGAGGCCGAGCTGGGCCCGGCCTCGCCCCGCCCCGCCCACGTGACCGGAGCTGGGCCACAGACTTCCGACTCAAACCCCGCCCCTTCCCCCGGCTGCGGCCCGGGGCCGCCGGCCGCTGGAGCCCAGGCGTGGCGCACCCCGACCGGCGCCGGGTCCCGCCCGGTCCCCATTCTGTGGACGCTGCCGAGCCTTGGCCCAACAGTCACACCGCCCAGTTCCCCTCTCCCCCCAGGTGGCCAAGGACCTCATGTCCTTTTAATCTGCCCTGGGCTTGTGCACTTTTATTTTGCGGGTCTCTGGGTTGGCCTCAATTGTAAGCTCCAGAGTTGGAGCTAGGTCTTCATGTTTTTACCCTAAGTAGTGCGGTGCTTTGCCCACAAGTCATCTTTGACATGCTCTATATGCGCTGTGGGCCTGCAGAAGTGAGCTTAGGAACTGGCTGGGTAATGGGCTGCAGAGCCCTGGTCACTGGACTAGAACTGAAGCGTCCTTGGCTCCCTCGAAGCCACTGATGTAGATGTATGTCAGTAGACTAGGTGATTTTTTTTTAGGCAGAGGGGCAAGGCCTGGGACTGAATAAGCAGACTAATGCCCTTTGAGCTGTAATATCTACTATTCTAATATAGGATGGTAGAAATTTATAATTATCTCCTACAGCTGGCTCTTTAGGCTGGCAGGAGCCTAAGACTTCCAAGTTCTCTACCTGTCCACCTCCAGCCCGTTACTCAACTCCTGTATGATTAAGGCAGGGAGAATCCTGCCTTAAACAAAAACTGAAGAATGAGTAAGGGTGGAGGAGAATCCAGTCACAGCATTTAACTAAAAGGTTCCTAGATTCAAATTACCATGCTAGGTTACCAAGGAATTTCAACAGGAGACCAAATATAGGCTGGAAAACTTGTATTTTTGTCAAATTTTGGATGCAAATCCCAGCACCAGTACTTGGTTATTATTTTTTGACCAGTCCTTGGGCTTGAACTCAGGGCCTGGACACTATCCCTGAGCTTCTTTTGCTCAGCTAGCACTCTACCACTTTAGCCACAGCACCATTCCTGGTTTTTCTATTGATGTGGTACTGAGGAATGGAACCCAGGGCTTAATGCATGTTAGGCAAGCACTCTACCACATTCCCAGACTATTATGCAAATCAGCACATATCTGGGTCATCAGTGTTGCAGCACTTGACTCCTCTTCACAGGCTGTGGTTCCTCTGCTTCTAGTAGACCTGGGCCACCTCCAGGTCTGCTTCCTCTTTAGTAACAGAAGGGGACTGCACTACTTGAAATTTTTTTTTTGTGAGTGTGCCAACACTGGGGCTTGAACTCAGGGCCTTGTGCTAGTGCTTGTTGCTTTCCCCTCCATTACAGCTGGAGCTACACCACTTGGGCCACACCTCCAGTTCCACGTTTTTGCTTACTAATTAGAGATGTTTCTCTTGGATTTGTCTGTCCAAGTTGGCTCTAAACTACATTCTTCACATCTTAGCCGGTTGAGTAGCTAGGATTATAGGAGTGAGCCAGCAGTGTCCAACTTTTGTTTCTTCATTTCTTAAAGGTTTTCTGACATGATAAGTTTGCCTACACAAGCAGAAAGAAAAATCTTTCTGAGAAAAATCAGATACCTGAACCAGCAAACTAATTTGAATCCATTCCAAGAGGGAGCTGGCTGCTTGGTTTTCCATTTCCTAGTAACCTCCAATCATCCACCTTCCTCCAAGCTTCAGCTTGTACTCCTGTGTAGCCCAAGGCTGGAGTGTGCCTGTGCTTTAGAAAGCCGTATTGTATTGTATTGTATTGTATTGTACTGTAGACAATGAGTGTGTAGCATCCCATTAGAGCACTCTTATCAAGACAACAATATACTACATTATTGTACTTCAGTTCTGAACACCTCCTATAGAGTTTAAATAAACATGTTTAATAAGTCAACAATGTGACCATATCATAAAGGATCAAAAATCATGACGTGTAAAAGAATGGTTCAAATAACTGAAGATATTTAATCTAGAGGATAAAAAGACTTGGGAAACACATGATAGCTATTGTTAACTACTTAAAAGGGTAGTCACAGGGAAGAATAACTAGGTTTCCTAATACCCATGAGTAAAATTAATAAAGGTATATTCTAACTTGATATAAAAGAAGTTTGTTTTATGAGACAAGGTCTCATTATATAGCTCAGGCTGGCCTTGAATTCATGATCCTCCTGCCTCAGCCTCCCAAATGCTGGGAATTAAAGGCATGTACCATCATGCCCAGCTTTAAAGAAAGGTTTTCAAAAACTCTTCTAAGAGTGTTCAAGTATGGTCAATTGACCAGTGATTGGGAATATTTCATAAGCAGGAGCAAGTAAGAGCTAAGCCACTATTCTATTGGTAGGGTGTTTGCTGTATTCCTCAAAGTATTATAAGCAGCTTCAGTCCGATTAATTACTGCCACCACTTTTGGGCCTGTGTGTTGGTTCCTCTGAAGAGGAAGTTTAGGAAGGCAGTAACACTGGATCCTGAAAAAGGAGCCTTCAAATCGATACCCTTTCTGATTCTCCAAACACCCACTCACAAGTGGTCTCAAAAACACCCAGTACCTTTACTTAGCTTTACCCACTTCACAATATGCTCAATATGAGCAATTTGACTCCCAAGCCTAGGTCAGGCCTGAGTGTTTCTTGTGAGCCATCATTTTAGGTAAAGAAATTCACTGTAGTGAGAGAGCCCCCCTACCCGCAGGAGGCTATGAAGTCTGTGGAAGGACAGGAACTTAAGGAGTCCTGGGGAGGTAGGCCTAAAAATCCAGGCCTGGCACCATCACTGTCCAGGAAGGGCCCAGTTCCTATGGCTCTGTGCATGGAGACCATTTGTTCTTGGCAGACTTCATTTCAAGGGTCCTGTGTGGACTAAGACTAGGGATTGGGCAGAAAGCAATGGCTGGCTGGAGGAAAACTCAGCCCTTCTGTTGGAAAAGATGGTTGGAACATAGCACTGAAGTGGGTTTGGCTCTCAAGCTGTAAACGGTGGCCCAATGGGGAGGTGAGTCCACGGATAAAATGGATCCGAACCAGCCCTGACTGCCCCCCAGATACCAGCCATCCATAGGAGTCCAGGTTTGGGCTGAAACGTACCTGTGCAAAGAAGTGGAAAACCAAAGAGAAGATCAGAAGTCATGTTTTAGGTTGACTCCTAGTTGCATAAGCAAAAATAGATTACAATCTAAGAGGACAGAACCATGAGGTGAGAGAGATAGAAATGAAAAGCCATGAGTGAAGTACATCTTATGCTACAGGAGTTGGCAAAGTTGTTTTCCTCCTTAGCCATCTGTTCCTTTTCATCTCACATATCATTGGTGACAAGTTCAGAGTTGGGAGAAAATGAGAATGGAGGGAGAGAAGATGAAACAAGATTCACCTTATGAATAGCTTCAAGCTGCAGCCTATCCAGGCAAAGCTGAGCATGCCCTTCACCTTCCTGCATACGCAACATTGGTTCTCTACGGAGCAGATTGTGGAAGGAACCCTGGGAAGCAGAAGAGAGAGAAAGCAAGTAGCTTTAGTTTTGTAACTCTGCCCTCAAACTCCTTAGAATTTCCTACTACACAGGACTAAACATTTCCACCTTTTCTAATTAATAATCACACTCAGTCTCCTAGCCTTGACTTACCAAATCTGTGTCCTGAAAAAGCAAGTAGTGATGGTTGATAGTTTCAGCGTATGTTTTAGCTTTGGGAGGGTTGGGAGTCCCAGATGAAGCAGAAGTATATTCTTGTTCTTCAGAACTGTCCTGATATGGGATCAGATCTGCTTTATATATAGGCTACAAAGGAGACGATGAGATTAGGTTTTATAATACTAAAAGTGAAAACATAAGAGGAAATCGGAAAAACACAGAGGAAATTGGCTTGGGGCAGCAAAGTCTTAATGAGTAAGACCTCAAGACCCTGAATTTTTGTTTTGTGCCAGTACTGGGGCTTGAAATAAACAAAAACCATACTCAGTGGTAATATGGAACTGGGTGCTGGTGGCTCATGCCTGTAATTCTAGCTAATACTTAGGAGGCTGAGATCTGAGGACTGCCATTAGAAGCTACCCAGGGCAAGAAAGTCTGTGAGACTCTCATCTCCAGTGCACTACCAAAAGAACTGGAAGGGGAACTGTGGTTCAAGTGGTAGATCACTAACTTTAAGCAGAAAAGCTCAGGGACAGTTCAAACACTAGGACCGGCACACACATATACAAAAAGTTCAATAGTAATATGTAGGGAATATTATGCCAAAACCAGGAGCTAGTGGCTTACTCCAGTTACTAGGAGATTACACTGTGAGGATGAAGGTTCAAAGCCAATGTAAGCATAAAACAGTCCAAAGGACTCCAAGACCACAAAGGCTTGAGTGGAAGCCCCAGTACTGGTGTACACACACATGTATACACACACACGTATACACACACACACACACACACACACATAAATGCTATGGTGTCTTTCACAGACAGTCAATATTGGGGCTAGAAAACTGAGTACTAATCTGCACTCCACCAGGAATTGGCCAGGACATTGGATTAGGATCGAACAAATGTTATTGCCATTAGATGTTCATATACGTACGAATCTTCTCTCTGCAGGTTTCTTGACATTTACTGGATTCGATGCCATATCAGGCAATATAGCTGCTATGAGCTCCCCAGATATATCTCCAGCAGCTACTGTCCCAAGCCAGTCAGATCCTGAAAGACTCTAATAAAGAAAGACAGATTAACGCCAAGCACTGGTGGCTTATGCCTGTAATCCTAGCTACTCAGGAGGCTGAGATCTGAGGACTGCAGTTCAAAGCCAGCCCTGGCAGGAAAGTCCTTGAGACTAGTATCTTCAATAAACCACTAGAAAACTGGAAGTGGCACTGTGGCTTAAGCAGTAGAGCCCTCGCTTTGAGCTGAAGAGCACAGGGACAGTGCCCAGGCCCAGAGTTCAAGCCCCATGACTGACGAAAGAAAAAAAGAAAGAAGGAAAGAAAGAAGGAAGGAAAGAAGGAAGGAAAGAAA